ACTGTTTAAACAACCCTCCTGAGATCTTGTTACTCTATTAATTTGTGTAGCAAATCTTTTTTTCATAGATCATGCAAAGATAAACTTCAGCCCAGCCCCTATGCCAGTGATTATAAATTCCAAGGTGGTAAGACCTGAATTAATGAGATTTACTTATACTGTATTAATGGTACTCTGTGGGAACCTGCAAGGGTGAGGAGTCACTGGGGATATGTAATTAAAAACAGAAAAGAAAGCTGCTGATTAGAAAAATAACTGTTGGAATCAGTTTCTTAAACAGGTTTGTAAATGTTATTTCTTTCTCTGCTGTTGTCCCATATAGCAGAGCTATTTCCCTGCCACAGTAACATTCAACGCAAATACTTGGAAGTTGGCTGTCCGCTTTGTCACCCCCAGGCATGCGGTCAGCACTGGGGTCAGAGACATTTCGTTTCCTTTTTCCCAGGGCTAGGGTATTTAAGGGTGGAGTTGATAGACTGAGTGCTTGATTTGTCTTCACTTTCACTCAGCCTCTCTCCTCAAGCTCTGCTAAGCTGAGCAGTAGTGCCATGCATTTTAACTCCAAGATTATCTCTGAGCTGTTTGAACAGACACCTAATTAATCATCATATGCTAACATAGAACATTTGATAGCAGGCTGTAAGACCCTAACATTCACTTTGTGAAATTCCCTGGGCATCTGGTTACACTGGCTGGCCCTGGTCTTTATGAACAGGTGTCATAGGAGCTGTGGTTTTGAGTAGCTGTTCCTCACAGCTTGCCCTCACCTGTGCTAGCTGACCCAGGATTACTTTAAGCAGTTTCTGGTGTCTGGGCTCATCTTGATTTTCCACAAGCTGTCAAGCTCACCACCCACTCCTTTCCCCATTCATAATCATGAGTTCAATCTGGGCTCAAGGACATATTTAGGTTGGCTCAGCACAGGTTTTATGCTTGCATTTTGGGGAACAGCCACTATGCTAAAAGATTCACAGAACTAATATTCTTTGTCTTCAAAATTAATCTGGTTTCTGTTGAGGGTCTCTGTTGAGGGTGGCAGTAAGTAACAGATGTGTACCCATGAGGTAGCGAAGCTTTCCTGAGCCAGGGCCGAACAGTTCCTTATATGGATTTAATGACTGCATTCTGGGTCTCCGGCGTGGAGGCACTAATCCACTGATTTACCGTATCATACTTTAGTTTGTTCTCTGAGGGGTCTTGGCTTCCATTCGCCTTCATTTTTACTTAAATGAGAGTGTCAGTGACACAGCATTGGTTAGCACTAATCCAAACGCGTCTTATGCTGATGCCGCTGTGCTTTTGTGTCGTTGGGACTATTGTTGGAGGAACAAGTAGTGTCTCAGAAGGTGCGCCTAGCTAGATAATGATGCTTTTACCAGGCCCTTATCCTGACCAGGCTCTGGGCATTGTATAGGTAATGAAAATTAGATCACAAAAATATGTTAAGCACAGTGCACCTCAGTAATAAGATTTTTCTCCATTTAAACATGATTTTAAAGCCTGTTTTCTCCTAAAGTGTGTTTCTTTGGCCTGGCGAATTTGCTTTCTTCTTCCCAAGGATTACAGAAAGCGCAGAGCAGATCCAGCCTTGGGAGTACCCAGGAGCTGGAGACTAGAGCCGACTGCAGCTGTCTTCACCCACAGCATTCTAACAGAGCTAATGAGATGAGAAGTCTGCAGCTGGTGGCAAGCACAATAAACCATGAGCCACGGGCTCCTCTCCATCACAGCCTCCCTTTCCCCTGGGATCCCACAGGAGACAGAGTCCTAACAAAGCCAGCAGGCTGTCTCATTCCACACTATTGCTCATTTGCAGCTGTAATTGGTAGCTGAGGTCGCATTCTGTATGCTGAAACTGTCATACATGAAGGAATATATTTGTTCATTGTGATACGGATATAAATTGAACAGTTTTCAAACTCAGAGACCAAATCAGATGCCCAACAGTAAAGCTGCAGCACGAAGACACTGTTTAAAAAATTAATTGTAGAAATACAAAACTTGAGGTTGTGAAAACTGCATCCACTCTACCCTTTCATATTATGCTACTTAATTCAACTGATTAAACATTTACAGATTCAAACTAGCAAGTGCAAAATGTCTAGGTTTTGACAAGGTGCATTATTCTCACCTGTCAGGGCTACAGTGCTGTTGTCAATAATTGGCTCATGTTACACTTTCAGTATAATGTCTTTAATGTTGGCTGCAAAGAGGGGAAGGTTTCATTCCGTGTATCTGTCTCAGAAAGACCCACTTGGACACCCCTGGTGCTGAGACTGACGTCTTGGTTTTTTAAATGTTCACTCCCCAGATTGCTGACACCTTTGGTTGTCCTGTATGGTATAGCCATGTGAGCCAAGGCAGAGATCAAAGAGTTCAGTGGAGGCTTGTGGTTAAGAGCTCTTCCAGAGGACCAGAGTTCAATTCCCATCCTCCATGCAGTGGCTTGTAACCTTCTGTAACTCCAGTTTCAGGGAATCTAATGCCTCCAAGGACAGTGCACACATGTGGAGTGCACAGATACACATACAGGCAAAACACCCCTACACATTAAAGGAACAAGTCTTTTAAAAAGAGGCTGGGTGAAGTCCAGGTCAGGTATAGGAAGCCGTATTGGTTCCACACAGGGCGATGATCTTCATGGTATGTTTTAGAACAGCAGCCTATGGCTCAGACTGATGACGAAGGTTCACAGCTGTGCTTTGTGGGTAGTGCGTTAGATCTACAGTGATGTTTCCACAAGGTTTTCAGTTCCTTTAGTTTCTGAATCTACTGCAAATGCGTTTTGTAGCTGTGTGAAGTGGCTGCCTGGCATGGGATGGCAGAGAGGTGTCTGACTGTTCTGACCTTCACTGGTCCCTTGGGGCCAACCCGAAAGTGACTGACACCGACCAGAATTTAAGCTGAGTTCTCCCTTCTTTACAAGTTGTCTGGTCCTAGTATCAAAACTGCCTTTATTTAGTGCCATTGGTTTTGTTTATTCAACACTCGAGGTAATCATGTACACTTTATTGTGGATTCACATAGAGTTTTTCTATGGATGTGGGTAGGTTTTAAACACCTCCAGTTTTTTATCTTCAGTTCCAAAATCCCATTTCCCTCTTTCCTTTCACATTTTACTGCATCCAAAATCAAGGTTTGTCTCCTAGCTGTGACATGCATTAGCCTTCTGTGTCCTCTTTATTAGTGACATACATAATAGCCTTTACCTGCCAGCTGCTCGTGTTCAGAATGTGCGGTATTTACTATGCAGTCCCTACAGCTGAGGAAAAACATGGCGGCTGTGACTACAGCCACGTCACACCCAGTCCATAAGAGAAAAGGGGTGTGGCTTCTTGCTCAAAGAGAATAAGTGGGCAGATCATGGCCAGCCTTCTGGACAGTAGATGGATGATTAGAATTTAATTGTTAAAATATCCTAAACACGGTATGCCTTCCTCTCTACTCTTAAATATGCGGACTGATGCACATGCCTCTTGTAAGAGATGTATTCTTGGCTGATACGCTTTAGTTTTGATTCTGACTGAATGTTCTCTCTTCTCTTTTAGTAGCTGATACATGCGTTCTTCTTGGGGTTTTTTTTTTGTTTTGTCTGCATCTTTCAGCTCGACTGACCTTAGGGACCAGCCCCATGCTGTGGCCCTGATACATCGTGTGGTTCCACGGGAACTCTGATGGAGATTGTTTAATGTAACGACGCTTTGTTAATGTTCGGGAAGTAGGCCTGCCTCTGGCTTTAATTTTGAACCTCTGTGCTAGAAAGAATGGTTCAGTGGCTTACAGGTTTGTTTTTGTTAGGGTGGCTTACTTCTGCCCGTGAATGCAAGTCTTGGGACAACCTGTTCAGTTCCTAGTCTCCTGAGTCTGAGGAAGCACACTAGTTTTTATGATGCAGGTCTAGTTGGAGTTTGATTTATCCTAGCTGGTAGCAATTGAAGTCGTCAGATAAGTGAAATGACTCTGGTTGTCTGCCCCTTGAGGGCGGCTCCTCCCTGTGTGTCCTTTCTGAGGAAAGCTAACTGGACTCTTGCTCTGGCCTTACCACATCAACTATTTCAAATAGCCAAATCATTGAAACCTAGTGTAGCTGGCCAGGTTCACAAGTTTAACAATTTTTCTGGCTTCCTAGGCTGGGCTGAGACAGGCATGCAGTCCAGGGTCACATGTTTACCCAAGCCTGCTTCTTTCAAGTTTAGTATTTTTTCCTGGTCCTCACTCTTGTTCTCTCTCATGTGATTTATTTATAACCCTCCTTTGGAATTATTAGCATGCCATGTGCATTCACTAACTGCGGAGTTGTAAACAGCCACTTCCCAGTGTATTTTCTTTGCTTTAGGAACATTTATGTTGGAATGCTTTGCTTGAACTGCTCTTATCTGGAGTGCAGCTTCCAGCCAACATTTCCTCTCGGCCTGTCTGGGCATTTTCTGCAGTGTTTGTCCCCTTCACAAACGCTGTGAAGCACCTTCGGTCTCAGAAGTCAGCCTGGGTCATGATAATGCAGACCCTGTCATTTGCTCATACTCCAAACATAACTTTATTCTGCAATCTATCAGGCAGGATGTATTGAGGGGAATAGAGTCCTATAGCAAAACCACTGGACTTTGGGGTTGTTTGTGCCTTCACAGAAGAGCCTCACTCACTCGCCCATGCCTGCCTCTCACGACAGTGAAAGTACAGGAGCAGACTTGACTGCTGTCTTGCAGTACTTGCTCACAGTGGCAGTGGCAGCCCAGGGTCACCAAGTCCAGGTCTTGTTGACACTGAGATGTCTACATGACTGTCAGAGCCTAAAACTGTTAAGCTCTTGAGGGCCCAGCAGCTAGTCTTGGTGGGCTTCTCTCAGGCCTCCACACTTCTGATTACATAGTTGAGACAGAAGTTTTAAAAAGTAATGGGATGAAACACACACAGCACTCTGGCTTCAGAAAGATGTCTGGCAAGGTTAAAGAATGGTTTCTGCTTTTCTTCTTCATCTCTGACTCTGTTTTGCTTTACAGGACTACAAAGCTGATGAAGACCCTGCATTATTCCAGTCAATCAAGACCAAGAGAGGCCCTCTGGGACCTAACTGGAAGGTACTGGCTGCTGAGCATGCTGACAAGCAGAGTCCTGCAAACATAACAATTGCTAGGTTCTAAGTCTTAAAGTGGTGGTGGTGGTTAAATTGCACAGAGGGTTTTGTTTGTGATAAAGACTCAGGGCCGTTTTCAGTTGGCCTGTGTGTGTGTGTCTGTGTGTGTGTGTCTGTGTGTGTGTGTGTGTGTGCGCGCGCTGCATTATCAAGCAGAACAGAGGCAGGCTGCCACGCGTGCCGTGTGCCACGCTATGCTGAGGAATACGGCGAGAGGCAAGTGGGGACTATGATGTCTTCTCCTGACTCCAGACAGTACAGAATCCATGTTAAAGATTTATAGTAGGGTCTAGCCTTATCAACTGTAAACAAGTTCTCCCCCCACCCAGGTGTTTCCTTGCCATTTATTGATACTTATTCATCTGGGAAGCAGGACACCAGAGAGTGGTTTTTGTGGCAAGTGTTTGTATTCAGAGAGAACACACCTTCACTCCACTCATGAAGTAGGAAAAGTAGCGCCAACAAGATCATTAGAACCACTATGGAAATGTAGTATACCACACTAAATAGAATTCCTTAAACAAGCGGCTGGGTATTCTGATTAGTCTGATGGACCAGGAGGTGCATAAAACCCTGACCGGAGCAGCCTGTTCACCCACAGGATTTTCTAGGCAGCCAAGCTCTAACAGGCTGCTGTCAGCCTCAGGGAGCAGTATGTGTGGTGTCGCTGCTCCTATAGAGGACACTGATGGTCCTGATGCTGCCGTGTCTGTGTTATACATGGTGCACATCAGCTAAAAGGCAGGAGGGAGGGAAATGATTCATTGTGTGGTATAGTAGTTGACACCTTTAATTTCAGGACCCAGAGGTTCAAGACCTGCCTGATCTACATGGAGTTCGAGGCCAGCCAGGACTACATAGTGAGACCCTATCTTAGAAAGGAAAGAAAGAACCATAATTTGTCATATTTTCGCATTTGTTTCCAGGGTATAGTTCAAAACTCTTCCAATCTAATAACCATGACTAGAGACAGTACTCAAGAAGTGGTAACTGTCATTCACAGTGACAAACAGATTCCGTGAGCATTATCTGAGTTCAGTCTAAGGGATTTGCAAAGCGCCTCCACTGATCTCCAGGTTTAGCCCCTCCATTCAGGCTAGTGGCTCTCCAAGGCACATTCCCTGCTAAGGAAGCCCTGCTTTCTCTGGTGCTGACTCTGCCATACAATGCTTTTACAGGGGATGAAGAGGCAGAAGGCACGTGAGAAATTTCACCTGGTTAACAGTGTTTGAAGTATAGATTTTATACACTGGTTGAATGGTTGGCTTGTTCTGCTTGAGTGCAAAGTGCAGGAATTCTTGGGACTCCTGAGAGGTTTCTGACTGGCCATGGAATTACCTGATGTTTGACTTTGGCCTGGTTTTTCTGGTTCTGAAGAAACACGAATGTGTAGTTAGCATGGCTTGTTCTTGCTTTACTGCTGTGATGTGTGTTGCTCATGGAATCTGTTCATCACTGTAAATGATATTTACCACTTCTTGAGTATTAAGTCTCTAGTCATGGCTAGTCAAGGCCTAATGCACAGTCCTTGATCTCTGATTATTTAAAATTCTGGAGTAGCTTCAGTCTGTGTGGTGATACGGTTTCACACAGGAGCCAGTGCCACCCGAGGGGTCACCATATATCCCAGGCAGCCCTTGAACGCTTAGTAATTCCCCACCTTGGCCTCCCAAGTGCCGAGATGACAGGCTTGAGCAGGCGTGACAGTGACTTCATATGCCCATGCAGAGAGCTCCTCCGGTGCACTTGTGGATGAATCTCTTGCTCGAGTTGTTCACATGGTGGCAGGTGCAGGTACTCTGACAAAGCAGGCAGCTGCTAACTGACCTTCCATGACCTTGTGACTATCCCGGGGAATGAAGCAAATAAGCTAAACTACCACAGTAGCTGAGCATACATGGCAATGGGCACCTCTGGACTTGATAAGCAGGCTAAGGTGGGGTGGTAGTTGGGGTTTCTGTTTGCCTGGTTGTGTGTCTTTAGGTGCTCAGAAGACCCAGGACCTGACACATATTGGGCAAGCACTCTATTACTGAGTTATACTTCCGTGACTGCTTTGACACCTCCCTTACTTGGTATGGAGGTTACTTCCTGTGGTGTTTAACTGGCTATATTCAGCTGAGAGGCAGTTCCCTGTGGTACCAGGCAACAATACAAGGACACATTTACCCTTCCAAACCTTGCTAGGCAACACTTGTGGGTGCTTTGGTTTATAAATGAGAACTGTGGCCAGAGAAATGCAGATGAGACTTGTAGGAGAAATTGTGGTACCTGCAGGTTCACAGGCCTGGGTCCAGTGCTGCTCACAGGTGTCAGGTTTGGCCATGAGGCAGGTCCTTACTTAGAGGTCAGCTTCTGCCTCCTGTGTGTCATGTTGTGTCCTTAACAGTTTCACTCTGTGCTTAGACAATTCTACAGAGTGGTCAAGGCATCTCTATGGTAGAGACACAAAAGAAGACGCACCAAGTATTGTGCAGGTCCATGCATTACATGCATTAGGATGCGGGCAGTGTGCGCCTTGAGCCCCAGTTCCCATGCCCTCTAAAGTGCAGACATTAGTGCCCACCTCGAAAGTTGTAAGGAAGATGAGAGGACCGAGCTGTGCTGTGCACAGGGTGCCAGGACAGACGTTGAGCCTCCACTTTTTGTATGAGGGTGTGTGTGCATGTGTGTGTCTGTCCATGTCTCCCCATTGTACGTCAGTAGCTAGGATTCACTTGTCTTGGGGCTTCAGTCTGTGCCCCTTGTCTGTATGTGTTTAATGAGTGCTTGGTGTGGCTTAGCTGTTAAGCCAAGGTCACAGAGCTCAGAGCATTTCCCAGCTGGGTGGTGCAACGGAGACTTTCTCGTTCAAGTTTGTCATGAACACAGGTTTTTTTCCCACTTGCAATATGATACAGATTTAAAAACAAAGCCAGGAGTATACTATAGCTCCAGAGACTAGGCCTTAGTCGTCTGCTCATTTTCCTTAAGAAGAAGGAAATTAAAAGATCGGAGCACACGAATTATACTTCAGGAAGTGACTTTGTGCACGCTGATAGAGCAGTTTATAACTTGATGAGGAATTCTGCTCCAAGGCAGAACTGCCGACGAACACCCTCCTTTTCTGTGGCACCGTTTGCATGCACACACATGCATATGTATGTGTAGGTTTACGTTTCCATCTGGAGGATGTGTGTCTGTGACACTGGTACAGCCACCTGTGGCACGGCTTCCTTCCCAGTAGGATTTTGCACGTGTGTTCCTCCTGCTCTCCAGTTTGCCACATCTGACCCAGCGTAACAAATTGAAGATTATGGTGTCATTCTAACCCAGTGAACGGCCTCATATCTTTCTTCATTTAAGCAGACAGCTCTTGAAGAGTTAAGCATCTGTGTCCACAAATGGATGATCATTCCTAACTAGGAGGCTGTGCCAGAGCACCTGCTTCTGCAGTGCCCCGACAGACAGCGGTGTACACGATGAGCCAGTCAGGAAAAGGAGTTGTCCCAGAAATTCCGGAGGTTTGATATGTGCAACTGTGTTCCTCTTCAAAGTGCTGGCAGCGGGAGCTTGGCCTTTCAGACTCCTACTCCATGTGCTGCTCAGTCACACTCTGGAACGGCCCTCATGGACAGTCTGAGTTCCTGCTCAGTCACACTCTGGAACAGCCCTTGTGCACAGTCTGAGTTCCTGCTCAGTCACACTCTGGAACAGCCCTCGTGCACAGTCTGAGTTCCTGCTCAGTCACACTCTGGAACAGCCCTCGTGCACAGTCTGAGTTCCTGCTCACATTGTAGAAACACCAGTTTGTTTCTTCTGTATCCTCATGATTGATTTCTCTTTCTATCCCCATGTGTGAAAGGATGACAGCAGCCTTGTCTGTCAGCTGAGGTGTGAGGTGGTGTGCTGTGGGCGGGAGCAGTGGACAGGGCTGCTGAGGAGAAGCCACAGGGCAGCTGTGGAAGCCCCCTTCCAGGTGGACGCTCCGGCTCTCCTCAGAGAGGGCTGCTGAGCTACAGGTCCCTAACCTGACTGCCTGAGGCCCAGAGCGGTTGAAGGTGTGCCTCCTTCCTGTACTGTTTGAAACCCCACAGCAGGTAACATGTGGAACTCAAACTGGTTTCTAGTTAGACCACAGTTTGCATTCTATAGAATAAAGACGTTTACAGACATGGCATGTTTTCAGAGGAGGTTTACATGGCTTGTTGAATCCACTTTTTAGGTGACATCTCTAAAGTGCGTTTAGCACATAGTATGCCTTAATTATATGTGTAGAACTTTGTCAAAATGAACAGGCCCATGTCTTCAAAAATCAGGATGCCCTGGCTGCCTGTAGCTCTTGCCTTGGCTTCTCTGTGGAGTGCCTCTGCTCCTAGGTCGGCAGACCTCAGGACTCAGGCCTCTGGAATTCTGTGCTGCCTGGTGTGGGAAGTGACTTGGCAGAGCTCTGGAGTCCATCACACAGGACCTTGCAGGTGCACTTGCACATGGTGACTTCATCCCTGATGAGGAAGGTGTGACACTGGTTGTTGATCCCTCACAAGTAGGACCTTCCTGGGTTTGTTGTGCCTGGTTTTTTTTTTTTTTTTATAAACTTACTTATGATTAGGTCATCCTTAGAAACTTTTTAAAAGAGTCCCCATAGTGAACCCCCACCCTACCAGAGGCCTCTGGGTGCCCCTGTGGTACTGTTGGTACCTCAGGTCGGGGTGGTCTCCTTGTTCTACTCCCTGTCTTCTGAGTGTGAAGCCACCATAATTTGTGGCAGTGCCTTGCTTACATGTGCCCTCAGTAGGCTCTTAGTCCAGAGTCAGTAAAGCAATGCCAGTCAGTAAGATACAAGGCTTGACAGGTAGAAAACAGTGTCGGCCCAGGCCTGCCTAAAAGACTCACAAAGTAAAAACTGTCTAGAAAAGACGCCGTGTGCTGGAGACTGGGGCTTGCCTGAGACTGCGGCACACACGCCTGCCATGTCGTCTCTGATCCTGTGTTGACATTTGCTGCTGCACACTGGCAGCAGCCCTTGCCGCACATTTATTTTTAACTTTCTCAGTGTGATTTCGGTTGGAAACTTAACACTACAAATTCGGCCGCCAAAACTGAGCATTCTGCTTGCCTACTACTGAAAAGCTAAAATACTGGGGAGTGTGAACCACATGAAAACTGCTCTGTTGCTGGGGAGCGCCAGCTCTGCCTCTCCCACCACAAGCCTGCAGCATGAAGCCAGTGAGGCCGAGAGGACTGTGGGTCTCGCTCCCCTTAACTTCTCTTAACGTAGGTACAGACTTCTCTGTCACAGACCGAGACATTTGTTCTTGAGGCTAATGTTGGCTGATTGCTTACCATCTTACCAAGCTACACGTGCCGCACGTATTCAGTCACGATAGGTGGCTGCTGTGTGCATTGCTTCCCTGAAGGCCTCGGCCACATGCCTCAGAGTAACCTAATATGTGCTCTTAAATTGAAAACATGATTGGACTTGGGAAGCTTCATTTATAGTTAGTAACATGAAATGTAAGGAATTCTGTGACTGTACAAATGATTTAAATGCAATTTTGAAAACATTTTGCAACTAACTAGTACATGCTACATTATGGATGAAATTTGAATTATGTGGGAAATAACCTAATGCGAGGTTCTGTGAGCTTGGGACGCCCATCTCACAGAACTGCTGGTTGTTCTTCTGTTAACCAACTAATGTTCCCCTTCTTTTAAAAAAAAAATGCCATTTAAAAACTTAATCTATTTAAAACTCATTTCTAGGCAGAATAGTTGTATTATAAACTAGCCTTAGCTGCCTTGATGCGGGTAATGAAGTTTTCGGTTTGGGCTGGATTGGAGCTGTTGTGTGAAAAGCCTGTATTTTATTCTGTTCCCTACCTTTGGGTTGTTTCGAGAGGAAGTTGTGTTTGAAGCAGTTGAGCTCCTAGAAACTTGATACAGGATGGAACTTCCTTCTGTCCCAATGGAAATACCTTTAAAAAAATAAATTAGGGGCTAGAGAGACAGCCTAGTGGGGAAAAAGCACTGGTTTTTGCAGAGAACCTGGGTTTAGTTCCCAGCATCTACATGTTATCTGATAACCAGTTCCAGGAGATCTGATGCCCTCTTCTGGCCTATGCAAGCACCAGGCATACATGTGGTGCTTATACATACGTGTAGACACAGCACTCATACATGGGCAGGCACTTGAGTGCACATATGTATGCATGCCACATCATGCATCAGGGTCTGAGGACAGCTTGCAGGAGTTGGTTCTCTCCTTTAATGTGCTACCAAGAGGATCCCACTAGTCCGAAGGCTCTAGCTTGGATTGCTGGATGATTCTTTAAACAGAAACAGCACCTGAAATACCATGCACACACTAGCTACTGCAGGAAGACACTTAGGAACAACACCTAAAATGCCGTGCACACATTACTGGCTTATGCCACATTTGTTGATGCTTTCTGGTGACTCCAGTGACATGCTGACGCCTCCAGGAAGACAGCTAGGAAGTCGAGGCAGCTGATCTGTGTTTACTTGAGCAGAGTTTAGTTAGTTTGCATATTCTTCCCTCAAAGGGTTGTTTTTGGTTTTGATTTTAATAACTACTTGTAAGTTGGATGGAAAATGAGAAGATTGAAAATAAATAAACATGTGAGGTACAGAGCAATTGCTTCTAGAACTAGGGTTATTTTTTTTTGGCCCATTTAATTTTTAAAATAGTTCTTATAGCCAAGTGCAAACTCTCTAAATTGCTGTGTTAATTGGCATAAGTAGCCTGCCAGCATCACTAGGAAGCCTAGCTCACTGTGGAGTCGCTCTGTGCTGGAGTCCAGCCTGTGGAGGGCGCTTATGTTACATTTGGCTCACTCCTTTAATTAGAACGAGAGAAGGCTGAAGGGTGCACAGGTAAGCTTTTGTAGAGAGTAAGGTGTGTGACTCTTAGGGTTGGGAATGAAGTTGTGTGTGACTTGCAGTACCCAGGACTTGTCCCAGCTGGAAGTTGCTTGGGGCTATCAGTGTTACAGGGGTGGTGGCTGAGCTGTAGAAAACTGTAGCCTGAGGGTGTGACTGGGGGCTTCACAGGCGTTGAATGGGAAGGGCATGTTTACTTTATACGATCTGTAGCCGCGAGGAGGACTGAAGCCAGCGAAAGTCAGGGTTCTGTACAGTAGGAGCCACAGCTGGATGCGGTGCTCCTGACCTAGTACCAGCCAGACCTGACGGACTATGGAGCCATGCTCTCCACTCTCCTCGGGCTCAGCAGCACTCTAAAGATCCCACATGCGTTCATTGCTTATTGAAGAAATGGTCTGTGGGAGGCTCACCTTAACATCCTTTCTGGAGGAATGGGTTTTCTGAGGCAAACTGACGGACCTCATCCATGCCAGTGCCCAGCTTGGAGCCAGGCCTGCAGTCAAGGGGAGGGAGGCACATGTCAATTTAGCTGCCCTGGTAGAAATGAAAGTATTCTAGAGAGATACTTGTGTCTATCTCATTCTGATTATTTAAACGTTGGGCTCACAGCAGCGAGGATTTCCCAGGGACTCTTAATGCTAGGAGAAGGAGAATGTGCTTGTCAGAGGGAGAGCTTGTGTTGTCTTCCAGAGAGACTCCACAGTAACAGCCCATGAACACCTCACAGGGTGAAAGTGAACCCCGACAAAGATGGATCAGTGGAGTCCAGAACCACATCTGCCAGGGCAGATAGCCTACATAGCCTTGGCCCTCTGTTTAAACTCCAGTCTCACTTTAGGACCCCAAGGGTGGACTTGGCGGGGTTTCCGCATATCTTTGTTCCTCTCCCAGTGTAACTACATTGAGTAAACTTCCTTTTTCTGCTTCCCACTATTAAACTTGTTGCAGGTGATTGAAGACAGGGGGCCAGACCTGACCTGACATAGCTTTGTGTCCCCCATGTCTGAGAGCAGTGTGTGCTGCTGTGTGACAGGTGAATGGCTCCCACCAAAGACAGCAAAGTTATTCTGTCATTACAAATACACATGCACGCATGCACACACACACCCCACACACATACACTAGCCCCTCCCCAAGGCCATGTGTATAGGTGGTAGAGCACTGGATACTCAGGTGGAGGGCTCATCACCCTCTCCAGCCAACCCTCCCTGAGTGCGTGTCACTAGTCAGGGAGCCCAGCTCTGGGGTACTCCTGTTCAAGGGTACAGCTGAACCCTTCTCCATAGCAGTTACGAAGCTTGGAGGACTGTTGCTCACAACATCCCCATTTATCCAAGCAAGACTTGATTTTTCCATCGATCTCATTTGAGTGAATACCAGTGTGTGGTACTCTGAAAACTGAAGCAGCATGTCCAGGCCATGCTGTGGGCAGTGTGCGTTCGCATCGCTGGCTATGGCCTGCTGTCATGGACTGCTGCTGCATTGGAGATAAGCGGAAAGACAGAAAATGGTGGAAGGTCATGAGCGGGTCCCCAGGGGAAGTTAGGGAAGACAGCTTCCCTATTTAGTCTCACTGTGATCTGAGCTTCCGTGACAGCAGCTGGCCTCACTGCTGAATGGCAGAGAGGAGCACTGCTCTGCTCAAGTGATCAGAACTTCCAAACTAAAAGTCCATGGTGGTGTTCCACAGTGGTCTGTTTCAGTCAAAACCTAAATGCTGACATCAGGATTTTTCAATTTTCTCATCTAGAAGGAGCTGGCGAACACCCCTGACTGTCCTAGGATGTGTGCCTATAAGCTGGTGACCATCAAGTTCAAGTGGTGGGGACTGCAGAGCAAAGTTGAGAACTTCATCCAGAAGGTGAGTCTCCTCAGATTAAATATAACGAGATCTTAAGAGACTTTTCCTTCCTTCCTCCCTCCCTCCCTCCCTCCCTCCCTCCCTCCCTCCCTCCCTTCCTTCCTTTCCTGTTTGTTTCAGGTTTTATCTTAATGTGTGCGGTGTTTTACCTGCATGTATGTCTGCACCAGATGCTACAGTACCTGTGGAAGCCAGAAGAAGGTATCAGGTGATCCAGAGCTGGAGTTAGAAACGGTTGAGAGCTATTGTGTGGGTCCTGCGAAAGAGCAGCCAGTGTCCTTAACCTCCCTGAGCCATCTCTCCAGCCCTCAAGGGACATCCTTAGGAGAAATACAGTGCTTTCCTGATAGTTGTTTAGCACTTCAGTGCAGAGCCCCTCCCAGATGTGGGACTGTTCTCTTCCATAGCATCCTCCCTCCCCCATCATCACTACAGAGATGTCCTTGCGGGCTGGAGAGATGGCTCAGTGGTTAAGAGCACTGGCTGCTTTTCAGAGGACTTGGGTTTGATTCTGAGCATCCACGTGATGGTTTACACCCATCTGTAACACAGTTGCAGGGTAGGATCCACGATCTCTTCTGGCCTCCAAGGTCACTTCGAGCATGAAGCACACAGATACACATGCACATACTTGGTGCATATATGTAAAAAGAAATCCTAGGAAAGAAATGGCACCCTGTTACCCACTGGGTTCCCACAGAGGTTCTGGAGCTTGGATAACCTCCCTGCCTTTAGCCTACCCAAACCCCTGCTGCTTCTACGTAGTTATAGCTGGCTCGTGAGCTCACTCTCTGCATACTGGCCTTCTTGTCTTGACATCGTTGTCGATATATTGACAACCCCGTTTAGATACAGAGGGGTCAGTGTGTAAACACGAGGCTTTCTATTCATGGGGGAGAGAGTCAGTTGTTGCATCTGCTTTGCTCTCTTTAGGAGAGTTGAATGCGACTTAAATAGTTGGGTATTTAAACCAGTATCTCTATACATGGTAGAGTATCTGTGATATACAAGGGCAGTAATGTACAGCACAGAAGGATTAATGTACAGTACCTAATGCTTTTCACTGTTTATCTCTGAGCACTGTGGGCATTCCTTGAGTGCAGCATGCCTTTCGATCACAGGTGAAGACTCGAGGTGTAGTCTTATTGTAGAAGAACGTGGTTGACCTACGACCCTTGGCATTGAGAGTGCTTGTCAGCATATGTCGCCCAGCAGGAGCATATGTATGTCATGTGCTCTTGGCTTCTACCAGACCATTAATCCTTTTGCAGGGGAGAGTCTTTCTCATTTCACAGGGAATTTTGAAAATGATTTTGAATTAATGTTTATTTGCCACGTGTGGTATGTGTAGCACCCGGGTGGTATGGAGAGCGGAAGTTGGTGGGAGTTGTGTCTTGTCTTCCACTGCACAGATCCTCCGAGCGACTGAGCTGAAGGCGTCGTGCTTGGAGGCAAGCACCATCACCTGCCGAGCTGTCTTGCCACTCTCAACCGGGGATTCTTTTATTTTTATTTTGTATATAAGGATAATAGGACAGAATTAAGGTTTCTGTTAATATAAAGATTTTATATTTTAGGCAGGCAAGTGGTGGCATTCAGGAGGCAGAGACAGGTCGATCTCTGAGTTTGAGGCCAGCTTGATCTACAGAGTGAATTTCAAGGTTTCACAGAGAAACCCTGTTTTGAAAAGAACAAACAAACTATGCATGTATGTATGTATGTATGTATGTATGTATGTATGTATGTATGTATATGTTATTTTGAGACAAAGTCTCTCTACATACCCCGGCTGTTCTGAAATTCACTATATCGACCAGGCTGACCTCTAACTCAGAGATTGCCTGCATCTGCCTCCTGAGTACTCAGTAGGATTTAAAAGGAGTGCACCACCAATCTTGGCCTAGTTTCTGCTGTTGTATAAAGTGGACTTTTCAAACTAAGCACATGTTCATTCTATGGGATGCTTGGGACACATAAAGTTAATGTATCACTAATTGAATGTTTCTGCCACTTTGTTTTAAAAGCAAGAAAAACGGATATTTACAAACTTACATCGCCAGCTCTTTTGTTGGATTGACAAGTGGATTGACCTGACAATGGAAGACATCAGGAGAATGGAGGACGAGACTCAGAAAGAACTAGAAACAGTAAGCCTTGCTGTGGCGGCTGTGTCTGCTCATTAAAGTGTGCGTGCTTAGCGAGTTCTTAGACTTAGGAAGAGTGCTGGTGGCTATTTCTTTCCATGTTTGCTTTCACCAGAATGGAGTTTTTCAGACACTCATGCCCTTCACCCCTCCTGAAGGTAGACTGGAACCGTCTTAACCTAGAATGTGTTCCTTGTGAAAACCTCCAGGTACTTTGTATCAGATCTCAGGCATCAGTGTCTGACAGTCTCTGTCTCAGTTCCTGTAGATGGAGAAGCCTGTGGCTCAGCAGTCAGCCCAGCCCCTCCATAGGCAAGGCAAGGCAAGGCTGGTGAGGGCCGTCTCCCCGCCCACCTAGCTGTGAGCTCTTCTGTCTTGGGAAGCTCTAGGAACATTCCAGTGGTCCTTGGCAGGGGGTTAGGGTATAGTTTCATGGTTAAGCAAGGATTTGGTTTTGATTTTTTCCCTGGGCCGTGCTTGTCTGCAATTGGCAGTTCTTTCCCAGAGTGGGAAGTGAATCCAAGGCATGTCCATAACCCTCAGGGCTTCCAAGCAGTCATCCCGAGTCCTGCCAGCAGACCTGGCTCTGCGAGTCCTGCAGGTGTGGCGTCTGATGGCCTGTGAGACCAAAGCCCCGTGTGGTCATGGGGAGAGGCGGGAAGTCGGACTCTGGCACAGAGGAATGGTGTCTGTGTCGCAGCACAGTGAAGGATTTGTGTCTGCAGTTGGTTACTTTGGGTGACTGGAGCAGGCCTGCTTCTAATCAGTCTTGCACAAATTTTCAGAAAGGAGTATAGTGTATCTTCTTTATCGGGCAATAGAATGCTTTAGCCTACTTTATATTTGAAGTAAACTATAGGCAGACTTCAACTTATGAATGGATTTTGCTCCAGATTATTTTTGATGATTGAATTTGGAAGGTACTTTCCCATAGAGACATTGTAAGGGGCTTGGTTTTTCTCTTGCTGGGGCTGAGACTCTGGGTCTGGCAGGGTGGTGGAATGATGCAAGTCTCTCCTCTTCTCTGTTCTAAGGTTGGCCATGGGTATTCCCACAGGCAAGCGTAAGCCTCACTGCTGCAGTCTTCTGGTCCACACCTCCCACCACCCTGTGCTCACTTCTCAATACTTAGTGCTCCTGAGGAGCAGCTCAGATGCAAGGACCCTTTACCTGCTGTGCATTCCCTCCTAGGTTCCTCCAGGTTCCAGAACCCTGGCCTGTTGTGCTGTCAGCTCTGGAGCAGCTGCTCCAGCTGTAGCACAGCTGCTTCCAGACAGTGTTTCCCAGAGCCTAGGGGTGACAGAAAGCCACCCCCAGGGAGAACCTCAGCCCTACTAGAAGTGTGTGCTGACCTCTGTGTTGAGGAAGACTGACCACTGTGACTAGATGATGAGCTCAGCACTCTGACCCCTCACCCCTGACCTCTGACCCCTGATGCTTGGACAGAGCATGGCTACTGAAACCTGAACACACCTAGAGAGCCCTTGGCCTGGAGGAGTTGACTCTTGCTCCCACTCTGGCAGAAGATGCCAGAGAAGGTCAGCTGGTCAGCCTGGAAGTAGAACTGAAGACACTCGGGGCTCAGGCTCGGTGAAATCCCCTGTGAGCCTGCTTCACTCTGTCCTGGGCTCTGTGACTACATCAGAATTATTTTACGTAGATCTCAGCATTCTGGGCTGGCTGTCCTTACATAGCCCCTTGTTATGTCACAGGAGTATTTTATTCCTATGCTAGGGGTTGTTTTAGAGATACAGTGTTTGTTTTCTGTCTGTTTCTGGTGTTCTCTTTTGAGGGTTGTTTGTTTGTTTGTTTGGGGGGGATTTGTCTATAGGTGTTAGAAACGCCTGCTCTTTTGCTGGTTCTTTTCCATGTTCTGTTCCTCTGTGTCTTTTCTTCGATCCTTGCTCCTAGTAAACCTGGAGGCATTGAGAAGCTGCTTTTATAAAGAGCCAGTGGCGGCACCTTCACAACCTCCTGTCTTGTCCAGAGCCCCGCCCCCGAAGCATTTTCTCAAAGCATATCGATCTTCCCTTGCAGTTACATCCCTGATAATTTGCTGCCTTAATGGGTGCCTTTGTATAGATGCAGATGCAGTTACCTTTCCAGGCTGTTCCAGGGATTTCCCCCCACAAGTCTGTTGAAGCCAGGACCACTTGAAGGTCTCAGAACTCCATCCCGTCGGAGATACATAAGAAGCAGGCAGTCTCTATAATTGTTGCTAGACCCGTTCTCTCCACTTGCTTACTAACCCTACATAGAATCATTTTAGCAGCTCATGATTTTATTTTACATTTAGATGCGTAAGAAGGGCTCCGTCCGAGGCACGTCGGCTGCTGATGCCTAGATGAGTCCCCTGTAGGTCAGAGGCATTATCAATCTGTGTAAGTGAAGACCCGGGTAAAAGAGTACCTAAAAGCCTGTGCCGTGTGCTGTTGGGGAGTTAGTTAACTGATGAGCACACAGGCTCTTGCCAGTGATGACGGGATTCTTTGTTTAGAATTGAATATATGTCCATTGTAGAAACCGTGAACCTGTGTGTCTCACTGGGTCATTCTGTAGGCCAGGTTGAATGTAACAGTCTCCATCCACTGCCAGTGTAGCTGCTTTCTTAGTGGCACTGCCCTGGAGGCTGTTTGACCTGGACCTGGTTCTCAGTGGAGCCTTTTGTCATTCCCAAGGAGATCTAGGATTTCTCCCGCCACACCATGAGGCCAACCTCAGCAGCTCACTGGAGGTATGAGGTGTCCTGTGTGGCACAGTTTGCTTTGCAGTTAACTTTACTCTGTATGCCTAGCATTTTTCTGTGGTGTGCCTTATCAAAGCTTATATGCCCACGTGGCATTTCCGTAGATGGAGCAGAGAGCGTCCAGACCCGCCCCCACAGGCTCAGGCAGAGGATCAGAGCGGCGGTGCCTATGTTCTCTGCAGATGTCCATGAGACAGCAGTGAGCTGTGGGCTGTGCCTGAGTGAGCCTTCTTGCTGCTCCCTTGGTGGAGCTCTGCCTTCCCCACACCATCTTCCTGAGAGGCTCTCTGTCATGAGAGGGGGCTGCTTTGTCCAACCAGAGTTGAATATAACACTTCTGAGATTTCCCCAGAGTTCTATATTTCATGTTCATTTTAAAGAGGTTTTTTTTTTTTTTTTTTTTTTTAGTTGTTGTCACTTTAACTTTCTATGATTTGTTCCTGCTTCAAATTTACTTTTCCCTGTGATGAAGCGAATGTCTTAGCCTGGCTAGAATCTTTTTAAACAGAACAGAGTTTTAGGGTGCAGTATGTGGGGAACATTTTTACCAAAGTTTTTCCATATGGAGTCTTTCAGGAGAGCCTATGGCCTAACTTACTATGTATTTCTTTACTTTCTTCCAGCTACGGAGTCAAGGCCAAGTGAGGGGGACCAGTGCGGCCTGTGATGACTGAAGCCACCAGTGTCTCAGTGTTGACATTTCCAGTGTGTGCCTCTGACGACTCCAGCACACGTGCGCACATGCGCGGGCACACGCACACACATACTCACACACGGTTGTGAGTGAGTATGTGTGTGTCTGTCTGTAGCTGTATGTAAAGCACATATGGCTATAGGCCTAGATACACACACGAGTGTATATATATATATGTAAAGATCGAAGGGGTCAGTATGTTTTCTCCAAAGTACTGCGCCTGTCTTCAACGAAAATACTAAAGAAAATATTTTCAATATATATCCCTGGAACAGACATTAATAGTCATCAACATGACACCCTTGATTGAAAAACCAACTGCCATGTGGTGCCCTGTGGTGCTGGCTGGCATGCTCCGTGAATGCCAGGTGTGGACCAGTGTGTACAGCCTTTGGTTATGTTTCTGTTTTCAAGTCACCACACACACACACAGTCTCATCCCATCAGCAACAACTCCTACAGAAAGATTTCTTCAAATTTTTAGATACTCCAGTGACTCTGGAATGTAAACTCTGGATGTATTTATAACTATTTATTTCTGGGTGGCCACTATCTTCCAGCCAAATCCAACAGTATCTGTCAAGTAAAGAGTCAAAACTCTATTGGTTTGCCCGAGGGTTGGGGAAATCCTTTTTTAAAAATTGCCACTTTTTATTGGATTTTTGTATTTTGAATTTCAAGTATTTTTCTACATCAAATCTAGAAAGAAAAAAAAAAACAACCAGTGATGACGGTTTGTGATTTATAATAAACACTAGGCAATATTCAGACTCTGGCTAAGCAAACGGCGATCAAGCAATTAACCTGAGTGGTATTGCAGGCTGTGTAGAGCACTTCTGTGGAGTTTTGTTTCTGAAATGGCTTTTCTGGAATTACAGCCTGGAGACTATGTGGATGGTCTGTATTGCTCTCAGCTCACAGGGTAGGAGAGTGGGCATGTCTGGCTCTTTTCCTGCTGTGGTCCAAGCCAGGAGGAAATGCTGACGGAGAGCTAGAAACAGCTTGAGTGTGGCACAGGTCTGTCACCATCCTGAGGCCCAGCTAGATCTGAGAATTGCTGCTGACTCTGCTTCCTCCTCCTCCCTCCTCCTTCTTCCTCCTCTGCCTCTGCTTTTTCCTTTTTTTTTTTTTTTAAAGAGAAAGGAGCAGTAGCTGGGTAGGCTTTTCCCTTTCCTTTCCTTTCCTTTCCTTTCCTTTCCTTTCCTTTCCTTTCCTTTTCTTTTCTTTTTTTTCTATCTTTGTGTCTGATGCTATTTCCTCTTGTCAGTCCTGGAACCCTGACCAGAATCACACTGTAGAATCCTTCAGGTTACTCACTGCCTTTTAAACCTCCACCCCAGAACATAATACCGTGTTGCAGTCAGAGCACGGTGGTGACCCTTTTGTTGACAGGCTTGACCTTCATTTCCCCTCTGCTCTGCCCTGTGTCCCATGGGAGCAATGGCAGAAATTCCCACTGCATCGCACTGCCCGGTTCTCCTCAGCAACAACCGTGTGTCCTTTAAGCTCAAGATAAAGGCAGTGGTTATCCTGGGCACTGTTGGGAGAAGGTCACCACCAGAAGGGTCATTCCAACCCAGTCTCCCCCAGTGAAACCAACTCACAGACATCCGTAGTTTCATTGGGAGCTTGGACACACAAGGAAATCAGAGCCCGGTGTGGACTCGTGTGTTTCTAACGGCTGTAGAGATTGAGGGACGTGTGTGAATGTAAAGTACCCAGTTTACCTGGCAGTCTCCTGTGTAAATTACAGTAAAACAAAGTAAGTGAACCTGAAACGAAAAATAAATAATGATCTCAAAATGCCACTGTGTGCTTGTATGGTTGCTTCCCTGGTGCCACGTGCTTGGGATAGCTCAGACCACTGCTGGCCTTTGAGAGTTCTGGTTTTCACTTGGGATAGTTCAGACCACTGCTGGCCTTTGAGAGTTCTGGTCTTCACTTGGGATAGCTCAGACCACCGCTGGCCTTTGAGAGTTCTCTGGTTTTCACAGCCCTGCTCTGAAAAGACAAAAGATTCTGCTGTTCTGCTTTTCCTGAGAGATGTTTGTTCTTGATGTGGGTCTGTACCAGTCAGGTTATCACATGTGGATTCTGAGGTGGTTTCTCGCCCTTATTGGAATTGAGTAAACTCAGGTGCATGTCCTGTTAGTTAGCCTCAGAGTTGGCAAAAGGTTATTCTTAAAGGAAAAGACATGGAGAATTTGTCGTTTTTTAAGTGTTCTGTCAGGTTTTGCCAATTATACCTAACTGTCCCGAGATTGTGGCTGTGGGATGTTTTGTCCTTTAGAACGGTGTTGTTCTCCTGTGCTCTGTAAGCACGCAGCACCAAGCTCTGAAGAAAGCCTGCTGCCTGACCAGGCTCAGTGTGTACCATGCTTCCAGGGTGTTTGTGCTTCCTCTCTCAGTGTTGGCATGTGGCATTAGTGTATGCGATGACCTGCGTCTCTCTTGTATCTGTCAGCCCGTGTGTTTGTAACCAGGCACCTGGCTCTCAGCCGAGGGTCTGAGGCAGGTAAAGGCATATGTTCAGTCCAGTGTGGACGACCGACATAAGGACAGGACAACACAAGTTATTGTGGTATCATCTTTAGGAGTAGTGTCGGAAAACAGATGTTAGATATTCACTTCGGCAAATAAGAAATCAGAACTGTATGCAGACTCCAGCAGCTGTGACCCCAGAAGCCCTGAGACCTCTCAGAAACCTGCTATGCCACAGAGGGCACAGGTCCAACTCTGAAGCCACCGGGCAGGTGAGTCTGCCCTTTTGACTGATGGTAGCCGTCTTCACTGAACCTTCTGCTGAATTCCACACACCTTCCACACCGCCTCCCCGTGTGTCCAGTGTTGCTCAGACCTTCAATCCCCTCAACCTGGAGTTTAATGTGTCCACTTCCCGTTTAGCCCCCCACCCCCAGGCCCCTGAAGGCCTGTCTCAGGACGTAAGAGGTATTCAGTCACCTTAGCATGTCCTGTGAGGACACTGGGGTGCCCCAGCCCTCTGGATGGAGAACATGCTGACCTTGCTCAGGTCAGCGGTGCCACAGCCAGGTAGGAGTTGACTCTCAGAAGGACTGTGGAGTTGCAGGGGTCTAGAGCTTGTTCTGGTGTGACTTGGGAAGAAGGAGAGCAGCGGAGACCAAATCCCAGCCTGTCTTGTCTGTGGGAGGCTTCGGACAGATCTCTTCATATACTGGTCACATTATCTTATGTGGAAACAAGCAGCTGCAGCTGACTTCACATCCTCTTGGGGAGGCTACGTTGGGAAATGTCGGAATGGTCGATGTCTCTGAACCTTCCTGGGGTGCCAGGCTGTCTGCTGCTCACCTCTTTCATCTGTTGAAAACCCTAGAAAATGACTGGAAGGAAACTTCCAGATGCCACCTTTCCACCTGTTAATCTTTCTGTGGCTTGGTCTTTGTGCATCTCTACTTCAAAAAAAGGAAAAGGGCCCAGAGAATCTCCCAGATTCTCTCCCAGAAGACCCTGGGCTCTGTCTAGGTAGCCAACTCCTTGAAAGCCGGGGCTAGGTGCCAGTCCTTCAGGAAGCTGCTGCTTATGGAGCAGCAGCCTCTGCCACAGTTCTGGTCCTGGTTGGCCATCACTCCTGACTGATGGATGGTGACCTTGAATCTCACATTTCACACCCCATTTTAGCTTGGGCAGGTGTCACAGCTGTGTCCTCTGTCACCTCCTGTCATGGAAGTTTCAGTCATGAACCTCATTTCTCCCACAGCAGATGTCTGCCTCTAATGACAAGACACCTTACTCAGTCTTAGTGTCTAGCAGAAGAGGAACATGGTCTAGTTTCTGTCCTCAGAACCTACAACAGCAGCTCCAGCAGCTGTTGGCCAGCCTGGATCTGCCCTTACTCCTCCCTCCCCAGTCTCCAAAGCCAGAAGCTCCAGAGCCGGTCTCCAGACTGTCAGCCTATCACCTTAGCCACTCTAGGCATGAGCCCTAGCTGGTTTCCCCCGGTTTAAAAGGTATTCTTGGGTTGCAGGTGTGATCCAGCTGCCCTTCTGTCTTTCAATCCAAGATGTGTTCTGATCACCCTCATCTCAGGAAGGGGACTACAGTCTTGTAAGAAACAATAAGCGTCTTAGATATGGTGGTACACAACTTGCAAGCCTAGCACTCAGAAGAAAAGCAGGGTCTCCATATCAGCCACAGCTGCACATTGAAACACTGCCTTTTTTTTTTTTTTAAGGTGGTGCAGTATTTGGGGGCTTTGTGTCACATTTTCTGTGACAGCTGTTTGTCCATGCTTGATACAGAAACAGCCAATGGCCTTCATATAGTGTGTGGCCCAGAAGTCATCCTTGTAGAGTCACAAGTGCAGGACCCTGTATGGATAGCCGTAAGCAGCTCTCTAGAGCCCCTGTGATGGTGCTTCCTTCCTGACTCTATGAGGTCCAGGATGAGTTGCCACTAGATGTTTTATCCTGATGGTGTTGGCATGCTGCCCTATCGGAGTGCTCAGAGAAATAGTTGGAAGCATTTCATTTCCAGCCAGCACAAACCCAGAGCTTCAGGGTGGCACTCCAGTGAGTTCACAGAAGCCACCGAAGATGATGCTGGTTAAATTCTTGGCCATGTGCTGTGATGCTCCCAACTTGTTGACCTAGGCTTTGTGCCATGGCTTCTGGGGGAGGAGGGGGGTTGCCTTAGTTCCTGAGAAGCTATGAAACACCTCACATGTTGTTTGTGCATTGATCTTTTATTGTATGTTGATAGTAAAATAACATTACACTTCAGGCCGTGGGAGGCAGGGAGAAGCAGAACAGAGGCGTGGCCTACAGGAGCTGTTCACATTAATGTTTGTGTAAAGCAGAAGCTCCGCCTCTGAATGGCCAATGGCAAGATGGATACCTGCATCCCTGAATGCTGATAGCATCACCTGAGAACCACCCTCACTTTCTAACCCATCCAGAGGTGCTCCTGTGCCCAGATCCCTCCAACATGCCAGCTAGCCTCCACTCCCATGTGTCCTTTCAGGAGATCTATGAAAGGCTCCAGAACAGCTATGGTCCACAAGGGTGCAGACAGGGGCTGGCAAGCTTTCTGTAAAGGGCCAAGGTGTTCATTGAGGTTTTGATGACAAAGTCTTGTGCAACTGCCTCGTGCTGCCCCTGTAGCCTGCAAAGAGCCTTGGTATCACAGAGAGGGGTATGGCTTCATCTATCCCAGGATGAGGGCTGTGGCTCCACTTGGGCTGGGTGACACCTTGTTGATAGCTTTTTAGATCTCTTCCCACAGTTGTTTCTCTTAAGGCATCATCCAATTTCAAAAACAGGGCTAACACCCAGCCAGCACTGTCATCCAAGCAGACCTCACACTGGCTTTGCAGCTTTACGATGCCTGTGAGGTAGGTGCCGCTGTCTGTACATCTGCTAAAAATGGAGGCAGGTTGCCTTCTGATCAAGGGTCCCAGAGATCACCTGCTTGTCCAGACTGCAGTCTCCAGTTGCAAAGCTCCAAGCATGTGGATTGCATAAAGGCATAACAGCCTTGCTGTTCAGTGTGTGTGTGTGTGTGTGTGTGTGTGTGTGTGTGTGTGTGTGTGATGTTTTGTTTTTTGAGGCAAGGGTTTCTCTGTATAGCCCTGGCTGTCCTGGAACTTGTTCTGTAGATCAGGCTGGCCTCAAACTCAACCACTTGCATGTTGGATTGTCAGCACATGCCACCTCTGATAATCTAAGGCACAGCTGAGCTTCTCCATGGTGGCAAGGAAATCCTAAGACTTCACACTTGGAGGCCTCACTGATACAGAAGGGGTGGCAACTATTCTGCCCCTGCTGAGGCCCTCTGCCTCAGTGGTGCTGTCTCCCCACCCCCACCCCCCCAGTGCTAGTGGTGTGGACATGAGGAGTTTTTAGGAGCCTGTAGTG